AGAAAGGTGTTAGTGTCTGGGTTGTAGAGCTCCAATACCTCAAGGAAATGATACACGCTCATGGGCAACCTGTACATACTGGCACGAACAGGCGTATACAACCCACTATTGGTCAACTCTGTGCCCCATCGCCTGAGGACGTAACTCGTCATCCTCATCCACCATTTATCGGCTGATGAATGCACCCAGCCATAGCTCCTATATCCCTTCATGGTAAATTCTCTTCCCAGCCTTGCAAGGTGATTCCTCATCGTGTTAGCAATGATTGGCAGCTCATTCTGCGGTGTTGTGTCTTGACCCAGCATGCCAGGATGGAGTCCACGGACGTAATTTCTGTCACTGGAGCTCGGGGTCTTCTGGAGGGTAATGTACTCGTAGTGAACTCGCTCATGATCCTTAATAAGATGCTAAGACATTGCTCACGTCACAGCTCGCTTCCGTAGATGAGTCAGTGGGGACCCATTGACCCACCCTCTTCTAGCGACCACAAATTCATCTTAGTAGCTACTTGTTATTTTTCTAGACGGACAAAAATGGTAGCCTTAAAAGAAGTGAAAGTTGACAACGTTATTAATTTTTTTAGATATAATATAATTTATCAATTTGGATGACCCACGCCTAACTATTTATGATAATGGTCCTACTTTTAAAAGCTTTGAAGTGAGAAGATTCACTGACCAACATAAAATTGATTGGTGATATTCGTCAATTTATAATCCAAGAGCTAATGGCCTAGCTGAAGCATTCAATAAAATACTATGAAAACATCTAAAGAAAATTGTTTCTAGGAACAAGCATGATTGGCATGAAAAACTCTTGGAGGCACTTTGGCCTTACAGGACTATATATCGGATCCCAACACAGACTACACCATGTTCATTGGTATACAGGGTGAAAGTAATGCTACCTTGGGAAGTTAAAATTTCCTTTTTAAGGATAGCAACTCAATATGGCCAAACTCATGAGGAAAATGCTAAACTTCACTTAGATGACTTGATGCTTTAGATTACGTTTGACTCAAAG